GTCTTTTTGGATCCTCCTGTAATGCTGGAGAAATTTGTATAAGACTTCCTTTATTTTGAATGTGCCCTAATTCTGGACTTCTGGATTCCAAGTGTGAAGCTTATTCAACTTTGGTGCTCTTATAGCTTACTAGAGGCCCAGTGCATGAAATTTGTGCACTGGGGGGGGGGCGCATCTTTCAGCCCGGCCTGCACCCTCTTGCAGTCCAGGAGCCCTTGGGGGATGTCCTACTGATGGCTTAGGCCCGCTCCCCATGGGCATCCTTAGCACTACCACAGAGGCAGGAGAGGCTCCTGCCACCACCACTGCACTCCCCAACCGTGAGCCCGACTCAGGGCTTCTGGCTGAGCTGTGCTCCCCCAGTGGAAGCGCGCTGACCACCACGGGGCAGCTCCTGCATTGAGCGTCTGCCCCCTGGTGGTCAGTGCGTGTCATAGCGAACGGTCATTCTGCCGTTTGGTCAATTTGCATATCAGCCTTTTATCATATAGGATATCTCTGATTACGGGCTATCATTCCCTAATTAAAAATTAGCCTGGAGGTTCACTACTGTCTTTTCAGCTCTTCAATACTTTTAAGGTAAAGATTTTTTAAATTGATTTTTAGAGAGAGAGGAAGAGAGAGGGGGGAGGAGAAACATTGATTGCCACCTCTGAGCATCACCTCCTGCAGGGGACTAGGGATTGAGCCACAACCAGGGCATGTGCCCTGACTGGGAATTGAACCAGCAATTCTTGGGTGCACCAGCCCAATCCAGTCACACCAGCCAGGGCTACTATTTTGACATTTTTTAAAAAAATACTTTTATTTCAGAGAGGAAAGGAGAGATAGACATCAATGATGAGAGTCATTAATTGGCTGCCTCCAGCACAGCCCATACTGGGGATTGAGCCCGCAACCCAGGCACATGCCCTGACCAGGAATCCAACTGTGACCTCCTGGTTCATAGGTTGAGGCTCAACCACTGAGCCACACCAGCCAGGCTATTTTGACATTTTTGAATGAGCGGGTTTATCTAAATAAGCTAGTATGATAGATAAATATTCCATAGACTATCTGCAGTTTTTCCTATGAAGAGGTAGTGTCAGTGTTCCCTTCCCTTGAATCTAGGCCTTATGATTTGCTCTGACCAACAGAGAGCAATGGAAGTGACATTGTGGAACTGCCAAAGCCAAGGCCTCAAGAGGCCTTACAACTTCCACTTTGCCCTGTTGGAACCATGGGGAAAAGTTTGAGCTACCCTGCTGGCTAGGCAAGATGGAAAACAACTTAGGTGCTTTGGCCAGCAGCCTCGGCTAACTGCCAGATGGTTAAGTGAGGTCAACTGGGGCCAGCCAGCCCCCAGCCAACTTGTCATCTGACTGTATGCCCATGAGTGATCCAGACAAGACCAACAGAACTGCCCTCACTGAGCTCAGACCAAATTGATGGTCACATAATTGTGACCAATAAAATGGTTATGGTGTAAATCCATGAAGTTTTAGGGTAGTGTCCTATGCAACAATAGATAACCGATATCCCCAGCTATCAAAAACTACAACTACCCTAAACTGATAATTTGACGCTAAAAAAGTCACTAACTTAACTTTTTGTTATTGTTTTGAGAAGGTATTTACATAAAGCTAACAATCTAAGTACATTTTACTTTAGTAACCAAATATTTGATGTCGGAATTGAATTTTAATCCCTTTTTCCTTTTGATCTCAGAAAATCTTTAAGCGCATTAAGTTAAGATGGCTAAGTTCATTTGGATATACTAAAGTCAATTGATCACTAAAGCATGTAAGATAAACTCCACCTTCCTTTCTCCAATACCTTCCCCAAGGGGACTAAAATTAGCACCACTAAAAGCAATTTTAGAAACAGAACTCATTATTCCTTAACCTAGAAACCTTAAGGCAGAGAAAGGAATAGTTTATCTCTGAGACCATTCACGTGATTGCAAGTTAGCATCTTACTGTTTTGGATTAAAACTTTTGTTTTTATTGATTTCAAAAATATATTTTTATTGATTTCACAGAGGATGAGGGAGAGATAGAATCATTGATTGGCTGCCTCCTGCATGCTGCCTATTATGCCCTGACCAGGAATTTAAAGGCGACCTCCTGGTTCATGGGTTGATGTTCAACCACTGAGCCACACTGGCCGGGCTGAATAAAAACTTTGTAAATGTCTTTCTACAGCAGAGCTCCAAGAAGTTTTGGAAGCAAGGCAATGTTTCACTATGCCTTAGCATCTATACATCCACAATTATATTTCTCGCTAATAGTACAATGCAAAAAAAAAAATCATTGCTTCTCTTAGATAAAATTAATTTGGATTTCTTAATTCCAAAGTAGTCTTGCACAAGATAGGACTTCCATTACAACACTGATTGGAGTAATAAGACATCCTTGTTGTTTCCAATCTTAGGAGGAAAGCATTCACTCTTTCATCATTTGGCATAATATTAGCTGTTTTCTTATGTACCCTGTATCAGGTTAAGGAAATTCCCTTCTAATCCTAATTTTCAAAGATTTTAACATAAATGGGTAATAAAATTTTTAAATATTTTTCTACATCTATTGATATCATTTTTAATTCAGTCTATTATATGATGAAGTACACTAATTGATTTATCAGTGTTGATTTATAAATTCTGGAAATTAGCCCCATTTCATAATAAGGCATTATTCTTCTTATATACTGCTGGATTTTTGCTATTATTTTAAGGATTTTAAAATCTATGTACATTAGAAATATTTGTCTATACTTTTCTAGTATTATATTTACTTGGCTTTGGGCTTAGGGTAATGCTGGCCTCACTAAAAGAATTAAGAATGCTACTGTCTTATATTTCCTGAAAAAGATTGCAGATTACTTGTATTATTTCATCCTTAAATGTTGGACGGAATTTACTAAGAAAAATATCTGGGAATAGGGTAGGAAAAATGATTCATTTTAAAGATGGCATTGGAGATCTCTATGGGTACCCTGGACCACCAGAAAGATAAACAAGTGGGAACTAGAGCAAATCAAACCTGAAACATTGTGGGAGGCAAAAATGACAAACCTGAAGCTGTCCTACTTTGGGCAAATCATGTGAAGGGTCCTTGGGAAAAGACAATAATGCTGGGAAAAATAGAAGGCAGCAGAACAAGAAGACCAAATATGAGATGGATTGGGTCCATAAAATAAGTCATAGGATTTGCAACAGCATGGATGGACCTGGAGAGCCTTATGCTAAGAGAAATAAGTCAGTTGGAGAAATAAAAATATCACATGATCTCACTCACTTGGAGAATATAATGAACAACATAAATTGATGAACAAAAACAGATCGAGAGACAGAGAAGCATCGATCAGACCGTCAAACCTCAAATGGAAGGCAGGGGAGGGTGGCAGTAAGGGGGAAGAGATCAACCAAAGGACTTGTATGCACGCATACAAGCCTAACCAATGGACACAGACACCAGGGGGCGGGGGGTGAGAGTAATGGGGGGGGGGTAAGGACAGATATGTAATACCTTAATCAATAAAGAAAAAAAAAGAAGTCATAGGAATGAGTCTTCAGGAGCTGAGCAGGGCTGTTGAGGACAGGACATTGCAGACATCACTCATTCACAGGGTGGCCAGGAATTGGAGTGGGACGCAAGGGCATGTAACACAAGTCAACACTATTAACAGCTTCTTCTATGTCCTTCCAGCATGGGCAAAAGATCCTAGCCATCTCTTTTTTTAAATGGAAAGGTAATACATGTAATCCTCTGCACCTTGCTTTTCCTCTTTTCCTGGATGTTTTCATGTTTTTAGATAGTATCCTCATTCTTTCTGAAGCTACACATTTTCTATTTTGTGGCTGTACCACAATTTATGGATAGAACTAGAGTACATTATGCTGAGTTTTCCAATGGCTTTAAGGAGCTCTCCTGTACACCATACTGTGCACGTAAAAATTTAACAGGGTTGCTGACCAGGTTTGGCTCAGTGGATAGAGCATTGGCCTGCAGACTGAAAGGTCCCAGGTTCGATTCTGGTCAAGGGCATGTACCTTGGTTGTGGGCTCATCCCTGGTAGGAGGTGTGCAGGAGGCAGCTGATCGATGTTTCTCTCTCATCGATGTTTCTAACTCTCTATCCCTCTCCCTTCCTCTCTGTAAAAAATCAATAAAATATAAAAAAAAATTAACAGGGCAGATTTTGTATGAAGCATTCTTAACACACACACACACACACACACACACACACACACACACACACACACACACAAAGGGACACAAGGAAAGTTTTGGAGGTGAAGGAAAGATTTATTACCTTGATTGTGGTGATGGTATGATAGGTGTATGCATAGGTCCAAACTCATCAAATTACATGCATGAAATATGTCCAGTTTTCTATATATCAATTATACCTCATTAAAGCTATAAAAATAATTGTTGTACTATTAGGTAGACACTCTGAAGTAAATACCACCTACTCTACTGCCAATGTTGTTTGTTTCTTTGCTATGACATCTTTCATTTGGTGATTTCTTTAAATAGGTATCATTTTTCATTTCTGCGTGATATCAAACACCCATAAACCAAAGAACTGAGCTTTGGGCACTTCAAAAGAAACACACTAAAAAATTCAGAAGCAAAGATCCATTATTTTACCCATCAGTTAGAGAAAAAAAGATTAAGGTGTGGGGTATTGAGTTGAGGGAATGGTATACTTGACTCCACCAACTAATGCAGGTAGAGAAAAATAAGCATAGAATGAAACTAGGAGGTCATGGTCAGTCAACGAGAGACCCTTATTGATAAAGGCTGCTAACCTTGCTGGGGTATATTCTGGATAGATAGTGTAGTCTTGTAATAGGATGATTGAAGTGCTCATCATTCCAGAAACGACTTCCTCGACTGTTGGCTCTTTCTGCAGAATGTGCCTGATCAAGTGCTAATAGCCGAGTTTCTCATTTCCTAAACATCTTTCTTCATTTGATTTAGAACTAAGTTATAGACTGTAAATGAGAAATGCAAGTAAGAATGAGGGGTCAATTTATTTTAAGCACACTTATCATGAAATATCAATGTGTACAATTTCAAACATTTACAAATATCGCCATTTATAGAAAATTAATGTAATCTTAATATTATCTGAACAGTGATTTTTACAATTATTTACAATGAACTGAAACTACCTTTGTAGAAACATCAGTTATGTTTAAAAGTACCCTGCCACAAAGTAGTAATTTCACAGTACCTTTCTTTAATATTTATGTCACTAAAGTGGCAGCAGCATCAATAAAAACCCAGCAGATTCAACAATTTAGAAACAGCACAACGAGCACTGCAAATTCAAGTTAGCATTGATTCCAAACAAAACTTTTCATATTAAGATATAAATATTTTTCCATTTTCAGCACTGATTGAATAAAATAATTAGGAGGCAGTATATTCTTACTTGCAGTAAACAGCAATTAATTTTAGGATGTTTTTAAAATTGACATTAAGAAGCTACATTAGGCACACGCAATACTAAATATTTTGAGAAATTCTTGGTTTCATTGGAAGCCATTTCTAATAGTAAACCTTTTAAAGTTTTGACAGTAAGCAGAGGTAACTGTCATCCCAAATAGAAATTATAACTGCTTATCAGCAATTAATAACATATTTGGGTGGAAAGTGATCTTGGCTTTATTTCTAACGGTGTGTGTTTTTTAACTTAAATTTTTAACCTTTTTTGACATCCCCTCAAAAGGATCCCAAATATGTTTAAAATTACATTAAAGGAAAATAACTTCATATGGACTAGTACTTGTGTTTGAAAACAGTATTTACTATAGTATTCCACAGTTTTCTCTCTTTAGCATATATCCAGCTAAAAATTTTAAATAAAAATGTAAGGTATAAGAAACATAGTTGAAGTCACAATGAAGTCTATTTTCTTTTATTGACATAGAACACATACTTTAAATTTCAAATGTTGGCTCTTTAAGAAAAAGTTTCTCCTGGTAAATAATATGTATAACTGTTGCCCCAAAACATATACAGCTGTTTTCCCCAAAATATTTATACACATAGTGGTCCACTTAAGACCAGCCCCATTATAACCTACTGAATACAATGTGCTTTTAATTTATAAATGGGCTACCTTTAGTATATAAAATATATAGGCATGTATGTACTACATACAAAGTAAGAAATATAAAAAGAAAAAAAGTGTTCTTTTCTACAAGATCCGGACACAAATTCAGTGTAATTAGTGAGGCCATGTAAAATGTACTCTTAGTTTATAAATGGGCTACCCTCAGTATATAAAATATATAGGCATGTATGTTATACATATAAAGTAAAAATATAAAAAGCAGAGATGGGGAAAAAAAAGAAAAAAAGTGTCCTTCCCTATAAGATCCAGACAGCAATGCAGTATAATTAGTGATACCATGTAAAATGGCTGAAGAATTTTGATTTTGGCAAATACTTTTCAGAAAAATTGCTAAGCTACGAGAATACTAAATTTTCATTTTAAGGATTTAGTAGAGACTTCCACTTAAACAATCAGTGAAGATTCTGTGGGCTTCCTGCATATGCAGAAAAGAGAACTTCGGGGTTCTGCTAAAAAGAAACACAAAGTCGCTCATTTTTAGCCAGTTAGCAATAACCCCTTGATCAAGTGTGTGTAGTGCAGAGAATCAAATCCTGGCCCACCAGCATCTGACTGTGCTTGAGGAAAGCTGCCAATGGATAGGATCTGGATTCTTCCTACATCTTAGAGGAAATGGGGCAGAAAGTGATGGCAAAGGAGGGGTCAGCTCCAAAGGTGGCTGGTCCAATCTTATGATTGATGTTAAAAAACACACCCATGTTTCTATAGCATTCTTTCTGCTGCATTTTCTTTATTTCGAGCCACAGGTCAACTTCGAGGGTCATGCAGCAAATGGCTTATAAATAAAATCAGAGTCTATGAATAGTGTCATCAGAGTAAGAGAATCGCTGGAGTCTCTTGTTAGGTAAAGAGCTCGCACCATTGGAATCCATGAGTTCTATTATTTATAGGATACCTAAAATGGGGGACAAAAACCATGTCAGTAATAACATACATGCAATTCAGGAGTTAAAGCAATGAAGACTATTTAATCATTTATAGAGTTAGAAATTCCATATGGTTTCTAAATATTGCTTCACAGTTAAAAATGCAGCAAATATAACGGCCAATTCCAGAATTAGCAAATATTAACACTATTGCTAAATGTTTACCAAGGCAAACAATTCCACTGTTATCAAATCTCAGCCTATGTTACCAACAGAGAACCTAAAGATGCTACCATATTCATTTTGGAAGCCTAGGAATTTGGAAACTTAATGTAACCTTTAGCTTAGAGATATGCTACATGGCTCAATTTTCATAGACAGCAGCCCTTTCCATCCTGTCATGGTACCAAAGGGGAAACAGGGGGAAAAGAAAATCAATGAAAACTTTTAGTTGCAATGTTCTTTTCTTTCCTTTTCCAGATGATTATGCAGCCAAAAATACAGCAGGATACTGAAAAAAATATAGAACTTTCCCCCAAACAGCATATACATTTCGTTACAAATTTAAATTATAGTTCTTCTGAGGAATATTTGCGTCTTACACCAAGAAAATAGATATCTGCTAATTTAGTCAAGATGTATATATACAGCCCTAACCGGTTTGGCTCAGTGGATAGAGCGTCAGCCTGCAGACTCAAGGGTCGCGGGTTCGATTCCGGTCAAGGACATGTGCCTTGGTTGGGGGCACATCCCCAGTGGGGAGTGTGCAGGAGGCAGCTGATCAATGTTTCTCTCTCATCGATGTTTCTAACTCTCTATCCCTCTCCCTTCCTCTTTGCAAAAAAATCAATAAAATATATATATTTTTAAAAAGATGTGTATATACAGAAGACCTCTGTAAGGTATAAAGCACTAATACCAACATAAGGTATTGTTATTATGGAAACAAAAGATTCGAACAAATTCATCCCAAATGTGAAGAATACAGAAAAAGGCAATCTTAGTTTTAAATTCTCATGCAAGTAACCCATATTTTATGATTAATAAAAAATAATCTAATGTTCTGATATAAATAATTTTCATTCCATATTTATTTATAGCACTAAACTGATGATGGCAAGCTAAATTAAGGCTTATCAGATTTCTACAAACAGATGTTTCCCCCATATCAATAAAGCTTAAATTTTAAAACTAGGTCAAAATCTAATTAATTAAGAGAAATAATTGAACTCTTTCTCTAATCATGAAGACTTTTAAAATGCTTCACTTTCTTGGCAACGTATGGAACAAGTTGTTTCAATTTAAGTGATTAATTTGAAGAAAAATTGAGCTATCATGAGGAATGGCTTCCAAAATGATGGTTATATTTAAATGAATATAGGTTACACAATTTATTTCATCACATGCTGAGCAATTTTACTTCCATAAAAATATTCAGTAGAAGTCAAGGTGTAAAAATAATAATTCAGTTTTAATTCAACCCATTTATTTAAGCAATAATTTTTAAAACTTCAGTTCAAAAAATGTATTTTTTTAAACTAAAGCAAAAGTGACTATACATTTTCCCCAGTTTTGGTTTTACAGATACTCTGCTAATATTCTGAAAGTCCTGTCATTTAGCATTAAAAGTAGTACTTTCACTTCTGCTCATTGCTATAGTTGACAACACAATGCCTCAGTCCTTAATTTTGACTGCCACAAAAGATTAATTAGTCTAGTTAGACCCTTAATGGATAATCCAGGTTCCTAAGCATAGGAAGAATGAAAAACACTGAAAACTTTCTGCTGCGTTATATACAAACATATTAACGCTAACTAATAAAATTGTCTAATTTAAAGAGTAACTGACCTGAGATGTACCTTGCTCCGATAAACATTATCATGCTACTCATTATAAAAAAGCCCAGGGGTAGACTACAGAAGATACTAGGGTCACCTGTGGTCATCCAAGTAGAAGGGATTTCCCGTCAAGCAAACCAAAAGAGAGACACATAATTACAATATTTGTGTTAAGAATCACATGATAGCAAAACAAAATAAGTTATAAAAATAGTATATTCATAAAAGCTAGCAAAGAGTTATTACTTCAAATCAAAAATATAATCAATATTAAAGCTTGTAACAATTAACAGACAATACAGAGAGCATGCCACAAGTAGCCAAGAACATAATGTAGACCATATGCCTTCCACTGGCAAAGCCAAAGAAAGTCAATGGAGAACTTTTTGGGAGGCTGTTGATTTTAGCTTTCTTCCCCAAAAGTTACAAAATAAGCAATCCAATTCCCCCCAAATTCAAATTATAGATGCTTTGGCCATCAGAAAAATTATATTAACCTACTGTAAATAAATGTCAAACCCTATAGGTTTTGTTTTCTTTTATTTAAAAAAAATAGAATTCGGCATATAAGGAAATGCACCCGACTGTTAATATTACTCTCATTTGAAAACTAAATTGTATTAATGTACATTCTAAAAAATTGCCTGAGAACATGATTATTTTGATGTTTTCTAACTGAAAATAAAAGATTGGAGGAAAAAGGGTATTACGCTTACTTAGGAGAAAAAGCAAATCTTCAAGTAGGAACATCCAAGACTAAAAATACAGATCATAGTGATCCGTGGTAGTGGACAGTTCCAGAAGCTTCTCCTAAAACCCAGATACTTTAAAAGTGGTTTTGGCCCTGGCCCGGTAGCTCAGTTTTTAGAGCACCAAGGTTAGAGGTTTGATCCCCGGTCAGGGCACATATAAGAAGCAAACAATAAATGCATAAAAAAGAACAAGAAATTGATGTTTCTCTCTCTCTCTCAAATCAACAAAAAACAAATAAATAAAAGTGGTTGTAGGGGTGGAGGTGGGGAAAAAGTGGTTCTATACCTACTTTGGTTTGGAAGGCAGGTTATATTTCACTTATAAACTCTTCTTCAGCAAAGTATATGCTTCTGTAAATAAATTTCATTATGTTCCAAATCTTATATTTAGCAAATAATAAAAATATTGTTATATTAAAGGCCTGTTTAAGGCTATTTAAATAGCACAGGCATATTAAAGGAAGCTTAAGGCTGTTTATAACTAAACTAGTGGCCTGGTGCACGAATTCGTGCACAGGTGGGGTCCGGCTGGCCCACTCCGATGGGGGCCCATTGGGCTGGGCTGCTGGGGGGAGGGGCCACAGGGAGTTGGCGGCCAGCCCACCCCTGATTTGGGTGTTGGGGGCTGATTGGGGGCTTGGTCAGCTGGGGAGGGGCCAATCGGGGCCTGGAGCAGGCTGGTTGGCTGCCAAAGTGTGCGTCATAGCCACCGGTCATTCTGCCATTCTGGTGGCTGGGCTTTTATATATATAAATGGTTTACTACTTCAACTGAATACTTTCCTACCTAAGCGATTATTGGTTCAGGTCATGAAGACGGCCCCCCAAAAAGGTAAAGTAAGACAGGAGAAAAAAAAACAAAGATTGTAGTTGATTGTTTTTTCATTAAGGAGAAACTAGAAAAACAAGTAGGAACTAGAAATAATTTTACTTTTAGAAAACAAAGCGATAAATCAAAGTACTAGAAATAAACTAATAAGATGGCAGGATGTGTGCACAGCAACCTGATAATTTACACTATGTTTAGAACTTAAAGTGTTTTCAGAATGTTAGAAGCTCTAGATATATGGTAATACAGCTTTGCTAAGTATAAATAGTCAGATGCTTAAATAAGCTATTTAAAACATAGTGAGACAAAGTGGCAATAATAATAAAAACATAGTTACTGCTTTCCGAAGACTCAGCTGTAACCCAGCCCATTGACTTCATCACAGCTTTCTTCCAGGTAGAAAAACGAATTTCACTTTCTAGAAATAGAAGATAGGAACAACACACACACATGAAAGGCTGTTTACTGAGATGTTTTAAGCACTATACTTATGTTCACTCAGCATCCTTGACAAATTGTTACACATATTAAACTGATGTGGGACTTTACCAGGACTCTGATTTGAGAGAGCACGGTTGATAGTGATGGTCAGCGACTGGGAGACAGGCTGCCTGCTGAGACTAGGCCATTTGTAAGCTCTAAACAAATATTTGCTGTAAGAATGAACTATTGTGCCGAACCGGTTTGGCTCAGTGGATAGAGCGTCAGCCTGCGGACTCAAGGGTCCCAGGTTCGATTCCGGTCAAGGGCATGTACCTGGGTTGCGGGCACATCCCTACTGGGGGTTGTGCAGGAGGCGGCTGGTCGATCTCTCTCATCGATGTTTCTAACTCTCTATCCCTCTCCCTTCTTCTCTGTAAAAATTCAATAAAATATATTTAAAAAAAAAAGAATGAACTATTGCCCGGCCAGTGTTGCACAGTGGTTGAGCATTGACCTATGAACCAGGAGGTCACAGTTTGATTCCTGGTCTGGGCACATGCCTGGGCTGTGGGCTCGATCCCCAGTAGGGGGCGTGCAGGAGGCAGCCGATCAATGATTCTCTCTCTCTGCGGACTGAAAGGTCCCAGGTTTGATTCCGGTCAAGGGCATGTACCTTGGTTGTGGGCACATCCCCAGTAGGGGGTGTGCAGGAGGCAGCTGATCGATGTTTCTCTCTTACTGGTGTTTCTAACTCTCTATCCCTCTCCCCTCCTTTCTATAAAAAATCAAAAAAATGTTTTTTTAAAATATATATATATTTTTAAAACAAAACAAATACAAAATAAACTATCTGCATCTAGTTGCCCATTTGTGAGTGTGCGTGTACACATGCATGCATGTGTGCATGTGCATGTTGTGGGGAGACCAGAGGGACTGATGAAGGCAAGGACAACAGACATAACTGATCAACTCTGGGGTAAGGCCTTAAAAATTGCAAAGATAGTTCTCTTCAGGAAAACAGTGATCCTCAACTCTTTGCACAAAACACTTCCTAGATTTAAGAGTGGGATTAGCATCTCAAGACCATATACTTGCTGTGAACATTATTTGCTTATTAAAAAGTTGATTTTTTTTCAGAAGTGTAAAAAATTTTTAAACTTCATATTTTATCCAATATTGCAAAAGTGAAAAATTATTTACAGATAGAATATCAGATTTTTTAACACATTTCTATATCATAGTACATGGCATACTGCTTGACTTTAAAATAATTAGTATTACAATCCATTTTCTTGTATACGGAAAAAAGTGAATGAAATTAAAAAGCACTGACATAGTCTTCTAGAAAATTAAAAATGCATTTAGAGCTTATTTCCCAATAGCTCAAAATTCACTTTGATGGTATTTTTATGCATAGGTTTTTAAATATATATACTGATTTCAGAGAGGAAGGGAGAGGGAGAGGAAGATAGAAACATCAATGATGAGAGAGAATCATTGATTGGCTGCCTCCTGCATGCCCCACACTGGGGATCGAGCCTGCAACCTGGGCATATGCCTTGACTGGGGAATCGAACCGTGACCTCCTGGTTCAGAGGTTGATGCATGTACCTGGGTTGCGGGCACAACCACTCCAGTGGCTGGCAAACTTCGGCTTGCGAGCCACATGATGCTCTTTGGCCCCTTGAGTGTGGCTCTTCCACAAAATACCGACTTCTGCACATGGGCTACGAAGTTTCAATCGCACTGTACGTGTGCGCCCACACGTGGTATTTTGTGGAAGAGCCACACTCAAGGGGCCAAAGAGCTGCATGTTGCTGACCACGGCACTAAGCCATGCCAGCTGGGCCCACATAGGTTTTTTTTTAAAGTTATAAAACCAAATTCAATATATATAAAAGCTTATTATTGTACTAAAATTTGTTTCAATTTAAGAGATGAATCACTATACTATTTTAATAAAGGTGTCATTCAGAACTTGGGCCTTAGTTTAGTTTGTTAGAAAGAGAATAAGAGCCCTAGATGGCTTGGCTCAGTGGATAGTCAGCCTGCGGACTGAAGGGTCCCGGGTTCGATTCCAGCCAAAACATGCCTGGTTGCGGGCTCAATCCCCAGTAGGGGGTGTGCAGGAGGCAGCCGATCAATGATTCTCTCTCATCGTTGATGTTTCTATCTCTCTCCTTCTCTGTTCCTCTCTGAAATCAATAAAGAAATAAAAAAAAGAAAGTGAATCTAAGATATTTAATGCTCATTTATTTAAACTGTTGCTGCTTTTGTCTGGCTAACCCTGCTATGCTTAACAGTTACCAGAATGTCCTATAGCCTGGCTAATCATGTCCTAAAACTGGGCTATTGGCACCAAAGATGATCCTGTGTACACATTAGGGGTGGGTGGCTGATAGATCTCCTTCTCCCTTTCATAAAAAAGGCTATTCGAACAAGCTAGAACTGATAGTGTGGTAGTGTTATCCTTCTATACAAAAGGACTGTAAAAATGTGAAGAGTAAAAATGTGATTTTATATATTTTTTTAGATATTTTTATTGATTTCAGAGAGGAGAGGAAAAGAATGATAGAAACATCAATGATGAGAATCACTGCCTCTTGCACGCCTCCCACTGGGGACTGAGCCTGTAATCTGCACATGTGCCCTAACCAGGAATTGAACTGTGACCTCTTGGTTCATAGCTTGAAGCTCAACACCACTGAGCCACACCAGTTGGGCTAGATTTTTTTTTTTTAAATAAGAAACGATTTCTCTCATGCACACTCATTCAGTTAAGCCCAATACGCTTAGTAGCCAAACCTGAAGCAGTAGCATTTGTTATTGTCCTTAGTCCCTTAACTTATGAATACACGGAAAGGCAAGCTCTCTGTTCACAGTACACCATGAAAAGTTTCATTTTTTCAAATGTACCCTCAGCATTGATCTGGGGTTCAAACCGCTCCACTGTGACAGCTGACAGATCCTCAGGTTCCAGACTCCAAACGCCAACTCCTTCTGCAGCCCCCGCTGCCATGGCGGCTCCCAGGGCAGTGGTTTCTGGCATGGAGGGCTTCACTGAGAGGACAAAGTGACATCGAAAGTGACATCAACAACTTTGTATTTCTTACAGATGCCTAAACACCAGCTCCTCCAAAAGAAACATTAGTCTCATAATGTATAGGAATGAAGGCTTACTAACCTACTGGGATATACAGAATGTCTGCTTGTAGCTGCATAAGGATTTTATTGTTGGTCATTCCTCCATCTACCTGCAGATGACTGAGTGGAATTCCACAGTCACGGTTCATGGCATCCAGAATCTGAAATGAACCAACGTAATGAACATAAACCACTTCATAATAACATCCCTAAAAATGTCGATTTTCTATCCAAAAAAATGCTCAAGAGCTTCCCAAAGCCTATAGAATAAAATTTAGACTCTTATTATGGTCTTCTAAGCCCTCTTTGGTCTGGTCACAACCAACCTTCGTCTGTACTCACTCAAACCAAAAAACTCTATTTAATGCCCAGGTTTCCCGCCTCAATGACTGTTAGTGCTATTCCCTTTGCCCAATGTGTCCCATTGAGCATCCCCCCAATCATAAAATGCCCAGTGCCTGGCAGATGACAGGAACTCAGAAGGTAATGCCAGCTAGCAAAAAGAACAAAAACTTACATTTATTACATTAGTGTTTAGGCAGGTTTAATTTTTGATTAAGTATTTAAAAATTCATGAAATTTCTGACACGCATATGTAATTTGTTTAAGAATGATAAAAGCAGATTAAGCATAAGGAAACAAGCCCATATTTATTACCTCTCGGGTTTGGAAACAAACAGCTTCTAATGCAGCAAAAGCAATATGGCATTTATTGGTGAACTGAGTGAGCCCACAGATGATCCTAAAAACACAAATATTTTTAAGATTAGAGTGATAAGAAATGAGTCATCAGTCTGAAATATCCTGAATACAGAAAGGCTGAATTTGTTAGGAATGTGCAGGGGGAAAAATAGAAATTAAAAACAACAACAGAGGTGGGGGGAGAAGGGCTCCTAATATGAGGTGACAGGAGAAGATTTGACTTTGGGTGGTGGGCACAGGGTGCAATATACAGATCTTGTGACATAGAAACCCACACCTGAGACCTATATATTCATGTTGACCAATGTCACCCCAATTTAATATATAAATTAAAACCAACACTGGACATAAACATTAAGTAGCTTAGAAAGTCAATGTGGTCCAAAATCCTGCACCCACATATGAAAAAGTTCATGATCCATATAAATAGGTGACAAAAATATAAAACCAAATCAACATTTATCGAGATGATATCCCTTGGATACAGAACTTGCAGATGCCTTGAAGATAAAAAATAATAAGCCCTCACTGGTTTGGCTCAGTGAATAGAGCTACAGCCTGCAGACTAAAGGGTCCCAGGTTCGATTCTGGTCAAGGGCACATGCTTGGGTTGCAGGCTTGATCCTCAGTGTGGGGTGTGCAGGAGGCAGCTGATCATCGATTCTCTCTCATCATTGATGTTTCTATCTCTCTCTCCCTTTCCCTCTCTGAAGTCAATAATAAAAAAGGTAATAACACTAATACGCTTATCAACATGGTCAGATGATTCAAAATAATTTGAAAATAGGTAGGAAACTCCTGACTAATATTAAACCCACAAAAGCATACCTTATTTTAAATTCTTACCCTCTTGCACTGGGTTCCCAGTAAGGTGCATATAACCCTGAAAACGCTGGGACGAAATAGCAGCCATAAGAAGTACCTACTTCTTTAGCAAGTTTTTCTAACATTAAAGAAAAGAAAAATAAAAGTCACTCTAATATATTCTATTTACTTTAGTCAATAAACACATCCATTAAAAAATTAGGAGGACAGGACTTTTTGTTTCCTAGTCATTAGTACCATAAATATTCATTAGTACCATAAAATGTTCCTAATTATAGCAGTATGCTAGAAGGAACCAAAATAAATTGCCCCACATTAAATACCACAACTAAAATGTAACCTAGCCCCCCAAAATAAAAGAACTGGATTCGTTTTGTTAAGGTACTTCAGCTCATTTCCACTATTTTTAAGGTTGTTGACTGAAAAATGAAGAAGAGGCCTCCAATGCATCCATAATTAAATATGTGTTTCTGATTATCTCATCTTTGGGCAAAATTAAACAAGTTAGATGAAAGCGTGGGTAGGTGAGTTCAAAATAATTATCCATAGCCCTAGCCGGTTTTGCTCAGTGGATATAGTGCTGTCCTGCAGACTGAAAGGTTCCGGTCAAGGGCACATGCTGGGGTTGCAGGCTTGATCCCCAGTAGGGGGCATGTAGGAGGCAGCTGGTCAATGATTCTCTCTCATCATTCTATCTCTCTCTCCCTTCCTCTTTGAAATCAATAAAATATTTTTAAAAAATAATAATTACCCATAAATCAAAAATAGCCACATTAATACTTAATTAATGGAGTTAATTATAGTTACTAGAGTTTTAATTCTCACTCTAATCCAAAAGTTAATGCTCTTTCTCATCAGATAAATTTAACTGGACTACTTCCCCTGAAGGTTCTGGCAAATCTTTGGTGTTCGATTTTACACTTGATTAAATTTTATGCCTTACTTTGCCAGTTTAATAATAACCAACACTAAATATGTTAATTCATTGTTTTACAAATCTTCACAAACCAGTCTTTTATGTATAAATGAAACTAATAATAGGGATCCATATATGTTAATATCACACATAGGGTAAAAGCGCAAATACTAACAGATTGCAAAGGTAAAATATTTAACATTTTCGTTATTCAGTTTCTAACCCTTTGTTAGAACATACTCACCAATTTCGTCTGAGCTGTTTATAATTCCAAGATTGTCTCTTAGCCAGCGAATGACAGCACCGGCTATAGCTACAGAACCCTATGGAAAAAAAAAAGGAATCCAAGAGAAGTATATGCTATCACTATAAAAAGTTTTACTGTGCATATTCTCTGTGTATGACACTACCAGATAAATAAAATTTAAAAAATTTCAGCTTTGGAACTCCTGACCCATGGGAACTGTGAGATAATAAATACATGGGCACGGTTTAAGCCACTGACATTTGTGGTGATATCGTTATACAGCAATCATTAACTAATGCATAGGCTTATACCTAAAATAGAGTAGCTGGCTCAAGAGGGATAAAAACTCTAAAATCTTAACACTATAATCATAAATTGTACAAAAGAAGAGATGGGAGAAAGGACATTTAAATAAACCAAGGTGGGGGATACAGGAAACCCCTTTTGAAGTTCATATTTAAACAGACAAAAATGGCATAACATAGGATTTGGTAATGTAAACAATATTTATTGAGTGTCTACTACATGTCAGCTGGCTGAGGTGGCGTGATGAAAAAGACAAGTAGCCTGGCTTCAGGGTATTTATATCCTAGTGACAGAATACAGCACACAGAAGGCACAGATCCTAAATAAGCTTTAGTTCATAATCATATTAAAGCCCCCAAAAGGATTGTTTTGTGAAGTAATATTTAGAAACAGATGAACAAGGAAGGAGGAAAACACAACTTCTGGAAGATAACACGCTATTAATAGACAGCACAAGGAAAGCAGAAACACTCAACCGTCCTATTTCACTTCTGTCTTTTCCACCACTAAGAAAAAATTTCCAACTAGAAACAGCATGACAAATTTAAGCAGTTAAATACGCGTTTAAAGTCTTAGAGCAAGTGAAGGGTCATGTGACCCAATTCCTTTTCACGGAGAGTGAAAATGGGAACCATGTCAGGCCCAGATGAATCACACGCCAGGAGGATGTGTAAACACAGAGGATCACAGGCAAAATGTAACAAGAGAAAACTGAAATAACACACGCTGACTCATATATAGAATAGATGTGGACAGAAACAGAAATGCACGACTTGAAGCCACAGCATGATGGGTTCTGATTCATTTCTCTGTATGTCTGGGAGCAGGAGTGGTGGCTGAAAATTGGTTCCTCTGGAGGAAAGGGACCCAAAATGCTTGGTATAAAAGACAAGGAATAGAATCAGCTTCAGTACTTGAAGCCAGGGGCTAGGTGGCGCTCTCCTACCAGTGTAGGAACGCCTGCAAACAAGCAACTGTCCACTTGTTGCCTAAGGCTACTGCTTCATAGAAGAAACAGGAAGTGAAAATTCCAAAATACAAGAATCTATTAAGACATCAGTCAACAAAACCTAACAGTTGGAATAGAATTCACTCCAGTCTGACAAAGACTTTAAAATAAGTATGTGCTAAAAGTAATAAAATGATAAAGTATGATTTCCATTAAAAATTTAATAAAATTAGGAATCAAAAGAGAAATAAAAATAACCAATGAAGAAATGAAATTACTGAGTGAAATTTTAAAATGTAATAGATGGAACAAACTGTAGAATAGAGATGATGAGTAAATTAGTGTTCCCAGACGCTGCTGGTGGTATTTACATGTGGTAATAAAAAAAGAATGAAACAATAGTTCTATTTAACAATATGGATGAATCTCACAAACACAAAAGTTCAATGAAACAAGCCAGGTCAAAAAGTACATACTGGCCCTAGCCAGTTTGGCTCAGTGGATAGAGCATCAGCCTGCAGACCAAAGGGTCCCGGGTTCGATTCCAGTCAAGGGCATGTACCTTGGTTGCAGGCTCCTTCCTGGCCTGGGGCCCTGGTCAGGGCTCCTGCAGGAGGCAACCAATTGATGTGTTTCTCTCAAATGGATGTTTCTCTCTGTTTAGAGGGCAAAAGAAACAGGTTTACCAACCCAGACTCATAAATACGATTTACTATCAACTGAAAAGAAAATAGGACCAATTATTGCATGTTCAAGAAAAAGGGGAAATGAAAACTAAGCACAACAACATGATTGCTGGTGGAGGTGGTGGGGTCCTCAAATGGCCAGGAGGTTAAAAATACTAAACAACTAAAAACACTTAGGGCCGAAACCGGTTTGGCTCAGTGGATAGAGCGTCGGCCTGCGGACTGAAGGGTCCCGGGTTCGATTCCGGTCAAGGGCATGTACCTTGGTTGCGGGCACATCCCCGGTGGGGGATGTGCAGGAGGCAGCTGATCGATGTTTCTCTCTCATCGATGTTTCTAACTCTCTGTCTCTCTCCCTTCCTCTCTGTAAAAAATCAATAAAATATATTAAAAAAATAAAAATAAAAAAATAAAAACACTTAGGAAAATGTGTAATTAAGTAATACCTTAAAATTTCAAGGTACTACAAAAGAAAAACAAAACATTAGAAATGCATTTTGTAGCTTCCAAATCACAGGGAAATAAAAGAAGACTGAAAACTAAGATGGATAGCTAGTTTCAGTTTCTAAAAGGGATAGAAAGTAAAGGTTTTTTTAATTTTTATTTTTTAATAATAGTAATTATCTATCCTTTTTTCCATTTGACCCAGTGATCCCACTTCTAGGATCATATCCCAAGAAACCAGAAACACCAATCTGAAAGGATATATGCATCCCTATGTTCATAGCTGCACAATTTACAATAGCTAATTATATTTTTGATATTTATTTTATATATTTAAATGCCATTTAACAAAGAAAAAATCAACCAGAAAAATGAGTTCGCGTGTCACCTCTGACACGCGTGTCACCTCTGACACGCGTGTCACCTCTGACACGCGTGTCACCTCTGACACGCGTGTCACCTCTGACACGCGTGTCACCTCTGACACGCGTGTCACCTCTGACACGCGTGTCACCTCTGACACGCGTGTCACCTCTGACACGCGTGTCACCTCTGACACGCGTGTCACCTCTGACACGCGTGTCACCTCTGACACGCGTGTCACCTCTGACACGCGTGTCATAGGTTCACCATCACTGCTCTATAGCAATACCAAGAAAAGATGTTAACTTTGAGACACCAACCAATGAAAGCTATTGATTTTCTCCTCAGAAAAATATCATGAACACACATTTTAAAAAATAAGATTTTTATTGGTTTCAGAAAGGAAGGGCGAGGGAGAGAGATATAGAAACATCAATGATGAGATAGAATCATTGATCAGCTGCCTCCTGCACATCTCCTACTGGGGAACAAGCCCACAACCCAGGCATTGCGCCCTTGACTGAAATCGAACCTGGGGCTGTTCAGTCTGCTGGCCGATGCTCTATTCACTGAGCCAAACCGGCCAGGACGAAAGTAAAGTTTTAATACCTAAAATTGCCAAGCCTAACAATAATCTGTCAAATTAAATAAATGAGTATTGAATATATGCTTTGTGAGCACTTACAGAAAAAAGGAAGCAGTATGACCAAGTGCAATAAGCAGGAACTTATTTGTTAGAAAAAGTTTTAACAATCTAGCTTTAATCCCTGCCTTTTTGTTTTGTTTGTTTGATTTAATTTTTTTTTTACATTTTATTGACTTATTTTTTACAGAGAGAAAGGAAGAGGGATAGAGAATTAGAAACATTGATGAGAGAGAAACATCTTTCAGCTGCCTCCTGCACACTCCCTACTGGGGATGTGCCCACAACCAAGGTACATGCCCTTGACCGGAATCAAACCCGGGACCCTTGAGTCCGCAGGCCGACGCTCCATCCACTGAGCCAAACCGGTTACGGCATGTTTGATTTAATTTTTAAAAAACTGTTTGATCATTTACATGCTAAGGTTGTGGGTTCAATGGACGGTTAGGGCACATACAAGAAGCAACCAATGAATGCATAAAAAAGTGGAACAACAAATCGATGTCTCTCTCTCTCTCTCATATCTCTCTCTTCCTCTTTTGCTCTCAGTAAATAACAAACAAATAAACAAACAAAAAATACTGGACTTGGGAGTCTGGAGTCCTGAATATCCAGATTTACAAGGAAGGAGAAGGCACAGTGGGGTGGCTTATCCATCTAGACCTTGAAGCCCAATAACCTGGATATTTGCCTCCTGGATCAGCTACTTATTGGCTGTCAAAAGTTACCTTGGCCAAGTGACTCCAATTTCACTTGTCTACTCTCAGATTCCTCATGTGTGTAAAACAAGAGAGAGGAGGATGTAGCAAAGCCTATTGTCACCTAATCTATTATCCCTCTCTGCTTTAAAATTTTATGAATCTAAACAAAGTTACATGAATTGAAACAAAATCAGAGAGCATATGCTTATTAAGCCTCCAGATGAGCTAAAACTGGAAGAGTAACAGAATAGAGTCTGTCTTGGCATAGGCTGAAATCACTATCATGAAATTTAAAAGGAAAACGCAGACCAGAATTTAGAGGAACAAAAGATCTGTGCAAGTACAGAATGGAGCAGGACTTGTCTTGACAATGACTCATTTGGAAAAGCACTAGATATTTTAGCATGTGCTCCTGGAGCCAAGGATATGATGAGGTTATCAGATCAAATTAATGAACTCTCAGGCTAGAGCAGCCAAAGTAGTGTTTATGGTCAGAGATGCCCAAATCACTCTCTCGAATACACATCAGGTTGCATATGGAATATTCTATTCTGTTCTGGAAGACAGTGGCAAAATGGAATGCATGCAATGAAGGCAGCCCAGAACTAAAAAGAATTTAGAAATCATGTAACATGAGGAAGTTTTTTTTTTTAAATCCTCACCCGAGGATATTTTTCCATTGATTTTTAAGGAGAGCAGAAGAGAGAAGGAAAGATAGAGAGAAACATCGATGTGAGAGAAACACATCGATTGGTTGCCTCCCGCACAACCAGGACCCGGGCCAAGGAGGAGCCTGCAAACAAGGTATGCGCCCCTGACCGGAATCGAACCTGGGACCCTTCAGTCAACAGGCCAATGCTCTATCCACTGAGTTTTCCATAGTGGAAACAAAGGGAGAGAGGGCTTGTAAGAGTTTACGTTCTGAGAAGTATTAGGATATCTTGAATACACAGATCAAGTGTTTCACAAATGCTCCTATTATCCACAGAAAAGGGGTTGGGGCAGAGGTTACAGTGCTTATATAGGGGGAGGGCAAGAAATAACTGAAATAAACTAAAACCCCACATACTCTAGGTTTAACAACTAAAAAAAATGTTTTAACTAAAAGCAAATCTAATACTTTTGAGCAAATTATTAGACTAGAGGCCCAGTGCACGTGCCCCGGTGGGGTCCCTTGGCCAAAACCAGCTCTCCAACATCCCCCGAGGGGTCGTGGAGTGTGAAAGGGCAGTTCTTGGGTGACGCACCCAGGAATCGGGCTCCCTCCTCTCTGGTTCCGGGTGCGTCACCCAAGAACCACAGCTGCCAAGTCACCACAGCTCGGCAGCTCCTGTGTTGAGTGTCTGCCCCCTGGTGGTCAGTGTGCATCATAGCTACCATCTGGTCGCTTAGGCTTTTATATATATAGATAGATACTCCAGGAAACAAGACTCAATAACTTTTCAGATCATACAATATATTTGTGTAATAAAAGGGAGCATTTAAAATTAATTGTAAAGAAGTATTTTTAAGAATTGCATTGCCCTGGCTGGTTAGACCGTCAGCCTGTGGACTGAAGGGTCTCGGGTTCAGTTCCCGGTCAAAGGTACTTACCTTGGTTGCAAGTTCCCTAGCCCCAGGTGGGGCACGTGTAGGAGGCAACTAGTCGATTTGTCTCTCTCACATCACATCAATGTTTCTCTCTCTATCCCCACCTCTTCCCTCCCCCTGTCCCTCCCACACTCCTAGAAAGCAATGGAAAAAATATCCTTGGGTGATGATTTAAAAAAAGAGAAATGTATCTGATTTTTAAAAAATATATTTTTTTATTGATTTCAGAAAGGAAGGGAGAAATATTAATGATGAGAGAGGATCACTGATCGGCTGCCTCCTGCACGCCCCCCACTGGAGATAGAGCATGCAACCTCCTGGTTCATAGGTCGATACTCAACCACTGAGCCACACTGGCCAGGCAGAAATGTATCTGATTTTACAAAGGGTACTGCTTCTTTGACTTTTGAAGTAAATGTTTCTAAGGTTTTTAATACAAACCTACCATAAAGCCCTATAGACTTAGGCTGACATTCCTACTAGAATCTACAAACATGTTTTGAAACAAATGCTTTCAGTGAAATATGGCATAAATCTTCTCACTTCATTTCCCACATCAAAATGTGACACAAAGTATTTTTATGGAGAGACACATGAAGAAAAGCTGCTCTGCCTTTTGTGCCCAGTATTTCTCTTTGACACACTGGGGCACTGTAGTCATAAAAAAAGAATTTTCGCTCAGCCGGCATAACTCAGTGGTTGAGCATCGACCTATGAACCAGGAGGTCCTGGTTCGATTCCTGGTCAGGGCACATGCCCAGGTTGCAGGCTCAATCTCCAGTGTGGGGTGTTCAGGAAGCAGACAATCAATGATTCTTTCTCATCATTGATGTTTCTCTCTCTCTCTCCCTCTCTCTCTCTCTCTCTCTCTCTCTCTCTCTCCCCCCTCAAAAATATATTAAAAAAACAAACCCAGAATACTCAAGCTGAAAGAAATATTAGAGCAAATCAATGCCTCATTATATTTTAGAAATAGAAAAATCTTACATTGTGAAGCAGCTAAATAATAGTAATGTGGTTAAGGTCCCACAATTAATTGGCAAAAGAACTGAGGAACCAATATACTCAAGGTCTCCTGGGAGTCCTGACCCCCCAGTTCTGTCCCAGGTTCCTTCCACTCAACCAAATGTCAAGAAGAAAACAGAGTTTTTCGGTCCTATATATTAAGAATTACCAGGAAAGGCGTTAGAAAACACTGCAATTTTCTTAGTTTTGATTGTGTGTCATAGTATCCATATTGACTGAAAAATACTTACTTCCAGTGCATAATATACGGGTTTATCTCTACCGAGTTTGTAAGCCACTGTGGTCAGAAGGCCATGTTCAGAAAATACACACTATAAGAAAGAGAAAAAGACTTCAGTAGTCAGGAAAATGAAAAGATAGCTTATTTTGTAAAGCTAAAATAACCTAGGTACAAAATAATTCAATAAACATAACAATTTAAAAATAAACCAATCTTAGTCAAAATTCCAGTATTAGGAGCAATACACTTAAACAGTACAAAAAGTTTATCTCTTGTTCCAAATTAGGTTTGCATTAAGAATCTAACAAGGTCCCAATGTACATATCCCCCCAACACAATAAAAAAAATATAAAATTCAAATAACTTAGAATGGTTCTTATTCGAAACATTCAAATTTAGTGATATTCATCATTGAGTTCTTAATTAAACCCTGATAAAGATTAAGTAAAAGCTGAAGCTTAAAAGTAACTTAATGGCAAATTATGCTCAATCTTTTAATTTGAAAAAAAAAAAAAAGACAAAAAACACCCACCTTACGGCCTGTATTACATAGTAAGAAGCAGCCTGTTCCATACCTATAATTGGGGGAAGAATAAACAGTATGACAATTTTATTAAAAGTAAGCAGTGAAATACTAACAATACAAATTACTCAAATTGATACTTAGTACAATAAAAGTCATTATATTAAAGTTTTAGGCCCAGCTGGCATGGCTCAATGGTTGAGCATTGATTGACCTATGAATCAGGAAGTCACAGTTCGATTCCAGGGCACATGCCCGGGTTGGGGGCTCGATCCCCATTGTGGGGCGTGCAGGAGAGAGCTGATCAATGATTCTTTCTCATCATTGATGTTTCTATCTCTCTCTCCCTCTCCCTTCTTCTCTGAAATCAATAAAAATACATTAAAAAATAAAGTTTTAAAAGAGTTCCAACAGCTAACAAATATCACATACTCCTTTTGGAAACGTTTTAAAGATCAGTCTAGAAGAAAATGTGCCTAGTGTAATCTTAATGGAAAAAGGCAGGAATGGCATCCGGTACTTAGTCAGTCATAGCCCAAGGCTGTTTATAAAATATCACTGAATTACAACTAATTCTACTTTCAGTCACAGTGACATTGCTACTCATCCATGTGGACTGAAGCATTGTGATTAAGGGCTATTCATCAATGGGGCAGGCCAGCTTAGTTCCATCATTAGAACAGTCACAAACAGAAACACTGCTCTCTTCTGGCACAAAGAGAAGTCCAAGAGCAGAGTATGGAAAAGTGTAGCTGGACTGTGGGGACAGGAGTGGCATACAGGGAAAGGCTACTCAGGCCTAGCTTTCCCGTTCCCTCCGCAAGACTGCATTCTAACAGACGCCGGGAGAGTCAGAGCCAAGATGCAACAGGGCTGCCATGGAAGAACTGAATTTATTCTGTGGCAGCTTTATCAGCATAAGCTTTGGACTATGCAACATGTCTGGCATGTGGACGTGAGTAGTTTTGACTTGTGCCAGGCAGATAAGCAGCATAAACTGATACCAGTAAGGGGCACAGGGCAACAGTTTTCAACTGAGTTGGCTGTGATTGTCACCCTTGGTTTTCCATAAACTGTCCTGCTTGGGCTCAGGATTCCCTCCCCACGGGCCCGGCTGCTCTGCTCTGTCACAGAGGGATCTCAGCAGTAGCTTATCCAGTCAGCACGATGTCAACAGACCCCACCCGCTGCAAACAGAAACCGAGGGCAATTTTGTCCCCATCAACATTTTTCCAGGTACCATTGTTCTGAATAAGAATTAGCCCAAACTGGCCAGCATGGCTCAGTGGTTGATCATCAATTTATGAACTAGGAGGTCATAGTTCAATTCCTGGTTGAAGCACATGCCTGGGTTGTGGGCTCTATACCCAGTAGGGGGTGTGCAGGAGGTAGCCAATCCATGATTCTCTTTTATCATTGACTAGTGGCCTGGTGTACAAATTCATGCACATTGAAAGGAAATTGATTAGAAGAAATATTTTAATATCACTATTTGCCCTTTCTCTATAATAGAAGTGTCAACCAAATTCACAATCAACAATGACAGATCGAAACACAGGCGTGTGATTGGTGCCAGCAAGAGCTTTATATGTATCGCGCATGCACCAGTCAACTTAGCCTTTTATAGATATAGAATAAACTTGCTTAATTAGACTTGCTTTCTGATTTAGCAAAACCTTTTCCAGCCCAGCGAAGCACCCCAACTTCTCTTTCAGGTAATTGTCAGCAACACAGTAGTAAATATCAACACGAAGCAGATTATTATTGTAGATCATGCAGGGAGAACAAAGGGTAAAATATTTAACTGTAGCAGTGTGTGACTATATTCTGTGCAGTGAGAAAACCTGAAGTCATTATCAAGGCCCACTATTTCTTACTTCTTTTCAGTCGGGTCAAGTTTCTAAGCTTTCTAAATCTCCGTTTTCTGGCTAATGAAAAGAAAATAGGATTCCACCGAGTTTCCTATCTACCTACTCCAGGACTTCTGTAAGGATCAAATGAGATGAGGCAGGGGAAAACGCTCACAGACATTTGGTTAAAGTGTAAATGTTTCCACCTGGCTATAAAGCATGTCATGTTCCTGGGCTGAAGAAACTGCAAGGAGGCTAGTTGCTAGGGAGAGGAAGACAGGTGTTGCTATCTGACGTCATTACCCGGATGGACACAAAGCATATTAGCCTTTTATATATCTAGATGTTTCTGTCTCTCTCTCTCCCTTACTCTCTGAAGTAAATATGTGTATGTGTGTGTGTGTGTGTGTGTGTGTGTGTGTGTGTGTATATATATATGTAAATATATATATAAATATGTAAATATA